AATGCCTCGCTGCCAGCTTCCCTCATGCTCATCCAACTTCTCAAGAACCAATGTCTGAAAATCTGAGTATCTTTCTCTCCCCAAATTAGCCAACACATGATGCCTATGTTGGTTAAAGGCATAGTGCGAAGATAAAAATCAGGCATTAAAATGAACCGTTTACTTTTCCTCGTGGCAATGACCACTGATGGAAAGAAACATAGGCCGTGTTCAGATGTTACATTGGCGCTATATATGCCCTTGTGCTGCTACACAAATTGCACGTCCCAATGCACGTGCTACCTGGAGCACTACAAAAGTGGCGAAAGTGCTACAGAAACAGTCTGGTTGGACCCAGGAACGTTGCTGCAGTGTTACGGAGGGTCTCAGTTCACCAGCATCCCACAGGCCTCTGCTGTCCTATTCCCCCTCCACGAGGCAGGGACACACATAACAACCAAACTGTTCCCAAATATCCCTGCTCGAGAACCTGTTCATACTCGTGTGAGGTGCTGTGGCTCCGACCTGGGGGACAGGAGCGAGCACCCAACCCGGCATGCCTCACAGCACGCAGATTTGTGGAGGGGGAAGTATTTGAAAGAGTGACTGCAGCCATGCTTTGTCCCATGATATTTTGGAACAGTTCAATGGTTGTGTGTGTCTGCGCCCTTGTGCTGTTCTTTGGAAATGGTCACGCCGGCCTGTCTTCTCCTTCACGTACACTGGATTACGCCCTTTCCTTAAAAACCTTCTGCATTCTATCACCGCAACATTTTGAAAAGCCTTTTCCCATCTGATTTTTATCACCAAGTCTTGCAATGCTTTGCATTTTTCTTTACTCCCTGGCGGCGTTGGATTCCCAGCCTTCGTTTCAAAAGAACAAGTAAGCATTAGTCCTTGTAGCTGTGGGGGAGTTGAGGAACGAGATGCCCAAGGGCTCAAACCCCCAGAAGGCAAACGAAACATCCCAAGGGAGTATATTAATATCCTTGAATCTCATGAATTAGACTGGACACCCACTGGAGGGAATAAGGATTCCCTTGTCAGGCCCCTCCGGGGGACACTCAACTTTTGGGCTTGGTAAGCAAGACTACTTGCAAGCTTGCAGAAGGATGAGGAGCAGAAAGGAAAGGACCAAGCCTAAATTCCAGCTTCCTACTCATTGGCCAGAATATCTGAGCCTCACGCAGGAAGGCGAGAGGGGGACAGACTACCAGTTCACTCCTGGCACAGCCCCGTGGTAAGAGACTGTGCCTCGATGGGCCAGCTCCAAATCAGCATCTCCTGGGGCTGCATCCAGGGCAGTGCAGCTTAGTTACTGCCCTTTGCTTTGCTGCTACGGTCTGAACCCAGGCCCCAAATCTATAAAGTGCGCAACTAAGGGCTTCGCTTTTCAGTGCGGGCATCTATCCCATACGTCTTCAATGCGACGAGCCTGTGCTCAAGTACTTCCCAAATTAGGGCCCAAGCCCTTCAAGACATATGAGGCAGGAGCCTGGTATTAGCACTTGTAAAATCCCCAGAACGGTGGATATACATGATCTCAACGCACATTATCTTCAAAAAAGGACGCACACATCAGATCTGTCCCTCCGACGCGTGAATTAGCCAACAGTCTGCAAACATCTCCACGGGAAAAATCAAACCAAAGGTTCGTTGGTTCTAGGGCAAACTCAAAAGGTTTTATTTTAATTTTTTTTTTTTTTTTTTTT